ACCAGCTCTGGGTACCACGATGGAGATGCTCTGCTCCTGGTTCAGTCCTGCAAGCAATTCTCTTTATTAAAGCAATCCGCTGGCTGTTGGAGCAGGACCTCTGAGCCCAGCTCTCCTGCGTGGTCTCTGCGTGCTGGGAAACTCCAAACGAAGCCCTAGAGATTTCTCCGACCTGTTCCCCGACTGAAGGAGCTTGGAGCGGCTGAGGGGATGTCCTGCCCTTAGGGGTCCTCACAGACATTGAGATGCCAAGCGCTTGAACTCTATTGTGTTAACTGTAGCTGGGCTGGGTTTTTCAGAAAGCATCCCAAAACTTAGAAAAGTGGGATTTGCAGCTTTATAACGAACCTGCTAAAAATAGGGAATGGGATTATAATCCTAATCCAGGAGACCTTTCTTGGGTCTCCAGGGAAACTGTCCTTTAATCTTCTTTTCTACTTTGTGAGGGGGCTTTACCTTCTCTTTAAAGCCTCTCTGCTAATCAGCGTGAATTTTGTTTAACTCTTTTGATGTCTGTCCTTTGCTTTACCGGTCGTGTTGCCACCTCCCAGTTAAAATCCAGGGCAAGTTTAGCGGGCAGGAGCAGACTGAGAAACGTTCCTCACCCTCCTGACGGCCTCCTGCGTCCTCCTTTGGTGACCACCTTGTCTTTCTGCAGCCCGGCGGGGTCTACGTGTTTGTTTGTCCTCAGTTCCAGGAGGCTCCTTATTAAATAGTCGTGCTGCTCTGTTGCCAATCGACCCCAGCCCGCTGTGATTTTGGTGATACGTGGTGGTTAGGCTGGATCCAAAACTGGTTTAGGAGTAACCAGCTGGAGGTGAGAGATGCTTTGTGCTAGATCGGCTATTTGCAAATATGCTGCTCTGAAAATGCCAAAATCTGAGCAAAGGGGGGGAAAAAAAGTGAGCTTCTGCTCAAAGTAAATATGTACCTGTAACGTTACTGCTGCAAACAGCTTGAAAATGTGACGCGCGGATGCCTTACAGGGCCAGGAACCCAACAGGAGATTTAAAAAGCCCCGTATCCACCAGATCTGGTTTCTTAGGCTTTTTTGGCGCTTTACTTGTGGTTTTTGAGGCCTTCAGGCTGCCGGAGGGAGAGAAGCTGTATTTGCTGGGGCTGGGGAAGCAGAGAAGCCCAATGAGGGCAGTAATGTTGGTTTGCAGACCAATATTATTTGCCATTATGAGCGATTTCTCCGAGTCAGGATGCATGTTTAACCATATCTGATGGTGGAGGAGAGAGCACTGGCTCCCACATCTGCTCTGCTCATGTCTTGAGGCAGAGATCATCTCTTTACCCGCCCAGGACGTCTTCATCCCTCACCTCTCCATCCCCGAGCAGCTGCCCCCAAAATCCCTGCTGGGTGGTGGGCACCTTCCGAAAACGCTCCCTGGGAGCTGGCTTTGCTCTGCGCCAGCACAGAGTCCCAGTTTGCCAGCCGAGTGTTTGCCGTTCGCTGCCCACGAGTGCCCAACCCCTTCATCTGGCAGTGGAAATGGCTTTTTTTCCCCTCTCAATTAAGTCTTGTTTTCCTCTGCAGATCTCCAGCAAAAGAGAAGGGATACATTCGGAGGGAGGCAAGAGGAAGCACCTGCAAGTCTCTCGGGTTGTGTCACAGGTCTCACTTTTTTGGGAAACGGGCTAAGAATAAACCAAGAGACTTTCTCACTTTAGTTCTGAATACTTTTGTGGAAAAAAGAGGGAGTAAGGTAAAGGAGAGTGTCTCCATCTTCCCCACCAGTGCTCTTTCAGGCAGAAAATCACCAGCAGCACCAGGGTTTGATGCCCGATGTGCATCGATGCTGTCTAAGAGCCCATCTGTGTTTGAGAAGGGTCCGACCCACAGGTAGCAGTTCTTCCCTGTGTGCATTTACATCGGTGACTGCGGAGGACGTGTGATCCTTGAGGTTACGTGCAGAGACAGGGATGGTTTTGCTGTTTGCCGAAGCACCAAGGCGGCACCCGTCAGCCCGTTACGGTGTTTGACTGCAGCTTTACCAGCTGGGAGAGCAGGGAGTGGAGAAGAAACCACAAGAGAAGATTAAAGACCAGCGAGCAGTTTTCATTGGCCATCTGAAAATTGCAGCTCGGTAATTAAGGCTTTAGGCAGCTCACAAATAGCCCGGCTTTCTGCCGGCTCGCTTGTATTGCGAGCCCGTCGCCACTGCGAGGAGCTGGGCTTTATACCTTGGCCAAAAGGGGGTAAAAGCAAAAGGTAAGGATGTGTTGGAGCCTGCTGCTAGCCAGCGCTCTGCCCATTCCTCTTCCCCCTTCCCAGTTTGTCTGGGGTTGAATGAAACGATTGTAAGTGATTTGGGCAGCTTTAAATTCCCCTTTTCCTATCGGTGCCTGCTAAAGGGTGGTTGAAATTTTGAGGAGGGAGAGAGGAAAGCTTTTTTTCCTTCTAGCTGGGGTGTGAGCATCCTGGCTGGGATCTGCAGGCAGGGGCTGGGACTTGCGCACCTGGAGCAGTTCTTGTTGGAGTGGCAGAGGGAAAGCCATGAAACGCCCAGAGTCTACGCTGGCATCCGATCGTCACGTGCAGGGGCTTTCAGTGGTGGCCGAGGAAGCTGGCGTGCGATGAAGGAGCATTGTGCAGCCACGTTACGAAGTGCACTGGGATGTCCGGAGGGCGACGAACTTTGTGTAGTTTCTCTTCTAGAGTGTTTTGCAAGCAATGGTTAGGGATCCCCCGTTTTATTTTTGTCGGCAAGAGGAACTGGCAGGGGCAGAAGAGAGGGAGATGCTTTGGACAGCTCGGCAAAGGCCCCTCTGCTTCCTTCCTGTGAGCACTGAATAGTGTTCTGTTGGTGGGGAGGTGCTTTCCTCTTTTGGTATTGAACTTTTAGGCAAAACCTTCGTATTTGGAAACTATCAGAGCTCGAGGGCTAAGGGAAAGGTAGGCCAGGTCCTCAAAAGGACTTCCTAGAAGTTTGTTCTGCCTTGTGTTTTTGTGATGATGAAGCCTAGGTCAGCAACGTGGCCATGCATGTGGGATGGGATCGGTCCTCTCAGGTCCCCGGAGAACGGCTGATCTGGTGGGTTGCTGGGGCCATGGCACCTGGAGGACACAAGCACCAGAAAAAAAAAAAAAGAGAGATTCCTTTTGGATGGTGATTGAATTTGGGTGGTTTTACAGCCACGTTAACTGCTGCTGGCATCTACTTAGACTTTGTGTGTTAATACCCCATTTTCTCGTACAGGCTTGGATAAACTCTGGTCAGACACGTACAAAGCATCCTTAGGGAAGGGAGGGAAAACTCGTGTAATTTTCTAGCTGTAGCGTTGCCTGATAGGCACCTGCACGATCGCAGAGCCGTGCGGGAGGGATTTAGGGATGAGGAAGTATCCAGCTCGCGCAGGCTGGGGTCAGGGCGGCAGCCCGGCTGGATTAGCCTGCTGCACGATCCGCGGCTGATTTTGTAAGAGACGGCATTTGGCTTAAGGCTGTTTAAAAAGTGATTTGTAAGGTCAGGGTGACATTGCTATGATGTAATTTAAAATGGAAAGGCGTTATACTGTCTGATGGCTGATTGCTCCCGAGGCCACACCCAGCCACTGAGGTTAAAAAAAAATGCATTTCCAGAGGCTTTACTGCTTATAGAAAGTAATTGGTTTTAAGTAGGAGAAATAGGCTTGTTTGATTTGTCCCACTCTGGTCATCACCTCTGTTTTAGAAGCTGCTGATTTGCTGTTGATGGATAAGGGTCCCCGGTGGTACCCCCTGCACTGTCATACAGGTTTTCCTTCTTTATTCACATGTTGATAATTAACCTCTCTTCCTCCCCAGAGATGCAGGTGCATGAAAACGCCCTTTTTTTTTGTTGTTGTTGTTGTTTCTGGCTGAAGAAACAATTGCAGAAAAGTCTGTGTGGCCCCAGGCTGCCTTTTTTTTCTTTACCAGGAACTGAATCCTTCTCTCTTGCCACAAGACACCTTGAGCTGGAGTTAGTGCTCCAGGAAATATGGAAATAAACCCCAAAGCGTGTTCATGTCCCAGATCACACAGCGTTCAGATTGCTGTTGCAGGGCATTGGGATTTAGTGGTGGGGAATGTGCTGGGCTTCTGGGTCCGGGCTTCAGAACGTTGTCTGCTAGTGGTAGAGGCTTTGTGTGTGGATATTTATCCCAGGACTGATAAGAGACATTTAACTGTCCATCATAGGTTCGTAGTTTGTACTTGTTAGGATATAAATGAGCAACATAAGAGGTGTGGTGATCTCGTGGGTATCCTGTCTCTGGCTGATGCCCTTTTTTCTTGCCAGCATCTTCTGCACTCTCCCTGTCAGAGGGAAGAGGCTGTGACTATACCCTGTCAGTAAGAACAAGCTTTAAGGTGGGATTGCCCAGCATGTGTGCATTTCCCGTGATGTTTCCAGATGCCACCAGCACAGACAGCGTTTTCCTCCTGTTAGAGGGAGTTTTCCCTAGGATTTGGGTCCCAGAGAGCAGACCTAGGGCAAAGCTGGCTTGAATTATCCCAGTTTAGTGGCAGCTGCAGCCCAGTTTCCTCGTCCTTTTCGTTATGAGTTTAACCTCAGTCCCTTGAGAAGGAGTTTTCACACTGGAGTGATGCACAATCCTTTATTTGTGCAAGGTATTTGTTCCCCAGGTGAGAATTGAGACCAGCAGCAAAGCAAGGTGAAGCTGTCTGCTGCATTGCTGGTGGCCTCCATTGTCTGCTTTCCAAAACGATATCTGAGTCCTCAGGGCTCCCAGCCCAGATCTTTTGCAGTAGCACAGAGGTGGCAGCTCCCGCTGTCTGCAGCCGGTTTGTGAATTTAGTCGTTCTTTGAATTGCCCTGGTATTTCCTGCACTCTCAGTTGCTTCCTAACAGTTCTAGGCTTGTGATTTCTCATCATTTCAGATTTACCTGCAGGAACTTCTATCCGAGGGTAAAGGATAGATGCTGTTTTGTGGGGCTAAGCACCCCTGGGAAGCTAAAGCTGTGGTTTTTCACGGGTGTTTCTAACCAGACACATGTTTTTCTGTCTCTCTAGCCATGCAGGGACCAAGACCAGTGGTTCTGAGTGGCCCATCGGGTGCAGGAAAGAGCACTTTGTTAAAGAAATTACTTAAAGATTACAAGAACATCTTTGGCTTCAGCGTCTCCCGTGAGTATCCGTATGTTTCTGGGGAAGGGCAGTGGTGGAGTTCAGGGCCGCTAGCCCAGAGCCACCTTCTGTAGCTGTATTCATGCCCCAAATAATGGGCTTTCATGGCTTGCCTGTGTCCTGGTCTGTCTGTGGGCTCTTTGGGAGGTTTAAATAAGTCAGGATGCCTTTTACTGCTGGTATTGAGCAGCAGCTATAGGATTTGCCTAGATTCTCCCCGTCACCTGTGTATGTTCCTCCTGCCATTGCTCTGGTGGTTTGTTGACTTTTTCTACGTCGGTCACTAAGTTCTGGCCAAGGGTCCTTTATTTCTACCTGGGATGGTTCCCTGTAATGTGAACGCAGCCCCTGACTGACCGGCTCAGTCCACTCATGCCTGGCTGCAGGCAGCGCTGAAGTTCTGTGTCCACAGCAGAGTAAGTGCAGGGAATTTTCTTCGGGCAGCTTGCCTGTTGCAATACTAATTTTGTTTCCTTTTTCTTGAGTGACACCTTAAAGGCTACCCTCAGAGTCTGGGCTGCGCCCACAGCTCATTCGCCTGATTTTCCCTGGAGTTCTGCAAATTGTTTTTAAGTACGTTACCAAAATTTCTTTTTACTGTCCTAACTCTTTGGATACTGCAAGTGAAATCCTTGTTTTGAGATCTGTGAGATCAGGATTTGTTCTACTATAAAAGGGCAAATACTGGATGTTTAAAACTTTAATGTTACTGGAGGCGAAAAAACCCTTAAAATGATCTTTCCTATGCTCTTGATTGAACTGAATCTCATCTCAATGCAGACTAAATCTTGTTGTTTTCCCTAAGGTTGCCTCTTGGTAGTTATTTTTTTCCTAAATCTCCATAGGCCGCTCAGACCTTGGCAGCTGGTGCTTTATAGAATCATACAGGTGATCAGAGCCTTACTGAGGTGATCAGAGCCTTACTGCATTAGGTTAATTCCTGCTGGTCCTAAATAAAGTAATTGGTGTTGCCCTCCATGATGACCATCAGCTCCTTTTTGGTTTGCAGAGCATATGCTTAAAATAATACCAGTTTGAACAGGCTTCAAAGGCTGTCTGATTTATTCACCTACCTTGTGCAGGAGTTTGCCATTATTCATTAAATCTGGCTATTTTAAGCACCTGCGTAGGTGCTGCACGTTCTTTTAAAATGAAGATAACTCTGCGAAGTAGGGCACTGCTAATTCCCCTGAACCGAGGCAGAGGTCTGAATTAACGTGTCTAGGATTGCACAGGAAGGCTGGAGCAGAGCTGAAAACTAAGCCCAGCCTAGTAAGTCCCACACTGACTGCTTGGCCCCTAACAATCTTAATTGATTGTTTTCAGATTACCTAGGATTCTTCGATTAAAGGTCAATCCTCTGTGTCTGTGTGCGTTACACCAGCTGATTCCAGAAGCTTTGATCATTTTAAATAGAGGATCAGCTTACTACATGATTGGGTTAATCTGCTGCCTGTGTGCTTTTATTTCTTAGATACTATTACTTCCTTGGGTGATCTACAAAATTTACAAGGCTGGTTTTTGTGCTTACAGATACCACGAGGCAGCCAAGACCCGGAGAAGTAAATGGCAAAGGTGAGCGTGTTGCAGTTGAGCCTGTCTCATCAGGCTCGGCAAACAATTCCTCTGAAAAATGTTAAGTTTTTACGTGAAGTGCAGACATGAATCCCTACCAGCAGATAAGGTACTCCTACATTTATGTTTATAGGCTGCATTTCCTTAGGCAGGAGGAGCAGGAATTTGGTAATGATCTATTTGAGAGTGTGTGTAGGTATACACGTATGTAAATATGTATACGTACACACATGCTTTTGTTCTTTATCTTGGTGGCAATGAGACTGTGGCCCTTTACTGCTGTTCTGCAGCATGTGCCATGTGTTGGAGGGAGGATAATGAAGACAGATGGACTTGCCAGAACAAAACCAACATTTAATCAAGTGGTGAAATGTTAACAGAGGCAAAGTGTGTGCTGCCAGTTTTCTTTTCTAGACGCTGTCTCTGTGACTCGCTGGTCAAGGTTTTCAAAACAGGGCTCTGGGTTTAAGCACCCTGCTCCATGCTTGGGCATTGAGTGGCTTGATTTTTGCGAAGTGCCGGCTAGCTCTGAGATACCTCAAATGCACGCTGTTTTGGGAAACGCAACTGCTTAATGAGATGTCTTTATCTGTATTGATAGCTTGTGTCCAGCTGGCCAGCTGCTTTTCTGTTTTCTGGCTTGTTTGCATATTTCAGAAAGAATCAAATGAGGTTTGCGCTTAATTTCCGATGGCAGTTTTCACTCTGAAGTGAAAGGGAGGAATTTTAACAAAAGATAGACATTCCTTTTTAGTTTGTTTGGTTTTGATGTTCCCTTTTATCTCTCTCTCTCTCCTCCTGTTCTATTCTTTAATCATAATTCAAATTAAGGGCCTCAGCAGTCCTGCTGTGATGTGTTCCACACCTGTGGGGAGGGAGTTTCCCACTGCACCAGAAAGGGGAAGGGGTATGAAAAAGGGGGTACAGCAGCATTTCTGGCTGCACAGAAGACTCCAAAATACTTTGAGCAGGTGTCTGGACAGTTGGGGTGGAGATGGGATGCTGTACGTGGTAATTAGAAGGTAGATATCTGCAGTCTGCCAGCGTTGTCCAAAGCAGATTTTAAGGTGCTTCTCCCCTGAGCACCCATGGGTGTAATTTTGACCATGAACTTTACCTTCAAAGCTGTTAATTTCTGGCTATTTTTCTTGTTTTCCCTATCCAGATTACCACTTTGTGACCAGAGAGGAAATGCAGAAAGAAATTGATGCTGGCGAATTCATCGAGCACGCAGAGTTCTCGGGAAATATGTACGGGACAAGGTATGCAGTTCAGATGCTGTCGCGGCTGAACCCAGGTGGTGCCGGGTGAGCTGAGATGATGGTGAAGGAAAAAATATTTTAACTTAGTGACACTGGTTTTCCCCCAAACACGGATGTTCTTGCCATAAGCAAAGCCTTTCATTTTGATGGCAGGGTCCTTGTCAGCTTTTTTAACTTGTTGGCAAAATCAACTCTTGCAGAGAGTTTGCTCATCATAATTAAATCATCGTTGCGTTACGTGATTCTCTGTAGTCTCCAGTGTTTGAGGGCTGCTGAAGTAGTTTGTATATTTAACACTTTTCTGATTTTCACAGACTATTTATGCTCCTTAATATTTTCCAAGTGCTTGCAGAGAGCAGTGGGCAGGATGGAGACTTACTCTCATTATCCCCACGTTACCTAATGGTCTGAATACGATGAATTCAGGAGTGGAAGCAATGATACCTGTATTGGCCAGTGTGAGACAAGTATGCGTGCTGCTTGGCTAAAGTGGCTGCTTACGAATAGATAAATTGCGTGGCACCCTTGACTGGGGTTAAAGAGTTAGGTGGATTTTAAAATAGCATTGCCCTCAGCGCTGGAACTGATGATCAATAAAACATTAAGCTGCAATGTTAATTAGAAGTCAGATATCTTATATAATTATTGTGAGAAAATTGTGGCACTGTAGTTAAGGACCTACTAAGGAGGAAAGTTTAATGTTTCCTGAGGTATTTAATTAGTTGCATTAAAGAAAGTTGCCTGAAATGCTTTTGAGGAATACTTACATTTCTTAAAGAGCTGAATGTGCTTTTTTTGAGGACTTTTTGGAGATGGCAAAGTTAGAGTCTGGGGATGGTTTCCTTATGGGAGGTGCCAGACTGAAGGTGCTGTAGGTGTACAGCTCTGAAGGAATGGTTGGTGATTTTTGCATTTCAGTAACGTAGCTGTTTTAATGTGACATGCGCAGGTGTCACTGTTGTCACTGCAGCTAAGGGCAGCCTCGCGGGGGTCTGGCCGTGCTCCCTCTGAGGCTGATGGAGGAGCACAGTCCCCTGCCCTGGCCTTGATACTTCCAGTGTCACTGGTTTGGCAAGAGAAACAAAACCTGACAGCTCGTCTTCCAGATACCCAGCACCAAGGAGACACTGAGTTCAAGCTCCTTAATCCCTGACTTCATCCTGCATAGGACAGGTTTCCTTCCTTCACGTGTGTCCTGCTTAATCCAGCTGGCCACAGCATGGAGGAGACGGCTGATTGCTGCTGCCTGATATGTGGGTGGAGTTGATTTTGATGCCTTTTCCTCAGGGTGGGTGCTGAGACGACATCTCTCCTCAGCCAATTTCCTTGAAATTTGCAGGAATTTGATACTTTAATCAAATGATATGATGTGCTTGCGTTTGGTCTTGAGATGCTTTTCTCCCTAGCCCTCATTTTCATCTTCAGTCCCTTCTGCATATTCGCTCTGCCTGTGGTGGTGGGTGTGCAGGGTGGGAGGCTGAAATGAACCCAAACCATCTTGGCAGGAGTGACCAGTTTGCAAATAAAATAAATACAGAAACTCTCCGAGCTTATGTTTCCTCTCCAAGTGCCTAAGGGTGTTTCTAATCAGCTGTGTGATAAAATGGAGAGAGTCCCTCATGCTCAGCAGAATAGTCGAAGTTTTTGCCAATCCTTTCTGCTCCCTAAATCTCACCAGCTAATAATAATAACTAAAAATAAATTGCTTAAATTAAGAGCCCTGAAAGGGCCCTGTCTGTGGGATAGTGCTGAGCCCTGCTCACAGAAACCAGGATTTCTTTGAAGTTGCCTTAAATTAGAGGCTGAAATTAGAGTGCAGGCCTGGGATCTCTTTCTCGGGGCTCTGAGAGCTGCTGGCTCTTCATAGATCGGTTGTAGCAGGAGTTAGTTGATCCCTGGTGATAGCAAATCACGCTGGTTTGGGGGCATTTTGCAGCTTTTTGTAGTGGATAGGGCTCAGATCTGGGCTTTCTCTGCTGCCCACCCGGGCAAGGCAGCAAACCTCTGTATTTGTATAGAGCACAGTGCTGCTCTTCCCTGCCGTCCAGCGTGAGGAGCTCACAGCACCGCTGTGTTGGGCTGCTCTGTTGCTCATCTCTGTCTGCCAGGGCTTTTCTGGGCTTGCAGGCTCCCAGAAGTCTTTACAGCTTTCCCCGTCTTGGCTCTGCTCTGTATCCCTCCGAGAGGCACTTTCTGTCCTCTCCAGCTGTGTTTGCAGAGAGCTGCTGTACCCACGGGCTCAGGACTCTCCATCGATGCTCGCATCTTCCTCTGCACACCCTGCCAACAGCAGGGCTGCGGCCATGAGCAGCTGCTGTGTGACACCCATGGGTGCTTTTCCTTTGTGCCGGTGAAGACCCTGTCTTCTCCAGCTGGCACAGCCAGGAGCGGGGCTGGTGAGAGCTGTGGGAGGAGGGCTGGGGGTCCTGAATCCTGTTTCACTGGAGCTGTGACTCCCCTTTGCTGGGGCGTAGGACAACACGGGAGTGTTTGTATAAGAGAGTCTGGTTTCAGTACAACCTTGCAGAAGGCATCAGGGAGCAAACCTTGGTGGTGCAGGGTGATGGGGTGAGGTCCAAAGAGGTGCCCTGGTTATGGGCTGGGCATCAAGCAAGTTGGAGGCTGGCTGTAGGGCAGCATTTTTTCTTAATCTCTGCTGCCATTACAGGACGTCCTGACTTCACAGCCCCAAAACCTGCAGTGCTGTCTCTGAGCTCCTGGCAGGGCTTCTTTCCGCACTGTCCCTCGTGCCATGGAGCCCTGGCTTGAAAGAGAACCTGTGCCCAGCACTGTGCAAATACCGATTGAAAAGTCCCCCAAGAGGGCTGCTACCCAGTAACTAACCCAGGAACCTCCAGTGCACCCGGAGAGGGTTGGCATTGCTGTTTTTCAAGGGAGAATTGTAGGTGTTCAGCACCAAGCTCGAGGCAATTCCCCCGTGCTGGGGAAGAGATACCATCTTTAATGACATACGAGAACCACCACTTAAAAAATATTTTCTTAACCGTGCATCTTGTGACCCAGGCAGGAGCATCCATCTCCATCAAGCATCCTTCAGGAGAGCACATGAGTACAGAAGTCAGAGGATCTCTGGAGAAGGAAAGTTCTCAGTGTTTTTGCTCTATAGTGAAGGCTGCTCCTGTGTTTGTCAAAGGCAGGAGCTTTACAGATTGTACCCGAGCCACACTGCT